CGACTGATACCCAGACAGTTCCCGAGCAGCGATCGCCGCTCCCCGGCCAACCCCCCCCCAGTTTCTATACTGAGCATGATGTCATATGGTATGGAATAGCCCTTTGGTCAGTTTGGATCAACTATTCTGGCTGTGCCCCCTCCCAGTTTCTTGTGCACCTGGCAGAGCATGGGAAGCTGAAAAAGTCCTTGACTAGCATAAGCAGTACTCAGCAACAACTAAAAACATCAGCATGTTATCAACATTCTTCTCCTACTAAATCCAAAACACAGCACTATGCCTGCTGCTAGGAAGAAAATTAACTCTATCCCAGCCGAAACCAGGACAGTTGTGCACTTCAGAACACCAGATAATTAAAACTGGTTTTTATTGCTATATGTTTTTGTTATGTTATCATTTATACATTGGAAACATAGTTTACAATTTTAAAGGTTTGGCGAAGCAGTTTCATTTTATAACCCCAGTTACTTGGCAGAATTAACAAGTTAGTACTCTTGACTTGGAGAAGTAGACAAAGAAATTGCTTGGTTTTCAATCAATATCTGATAAAAGAAAATGTGTTTAAATGGAAATAATTTGATATTGGACTCTGCCTCCAAAAAATATGAGCAATGTAAGTCAAGAGAATCTCATCTGAAATGCAGTGTACCTAAATTAAAGTAGTTGTATTTTTCTGTGTTCTTTGAATGTTCTTCACAAGATTGCAGTGAAATATTTTTGCATGTCAAGGATGAGTGAAGTTTAGCTATTAACCAGCTATAGAGAATAAAGAGGGAAAACAGGCAAGCTAATGAATGAGGAAGTGAATGGATTAAAATATTTCCAGAAAATATTTTTACTGTTTATACTTTTTAATTATTACTGTTAGTTATTGATAAAGAATAGTTTTTATTTATGTGTAATATGTTTATTTGGAATAAATGACATGGTAGTCAACCATAGCTCTTCCTGTGAGTCAGCTCAGGGCTGATTCCACCTCCTCAACTATTGTTGCCTGTATTGACTATCTCCTGATTTATATTTTAGTATATAAGAAAAGCTTCTCTTGCTCGTTTGAAATATTATGTCCATGTATTTTTCTTAGAATCTACAGCCTCATTCAAACCCACTGATGTCCCGCAAAGAAGTTCCCATTTATCTCAGCTGATGTGGATTCAAGACCTTAGGGAGTTCCTGGTTGTCCTTTCCCTGTCCTGAAATTTTCAGGCTTTGGGTCAGTGATACAGCAAACCTGGACTGAGGGCGCCTCTTGCATTGTGGGTATATGATGCCAAATGCTGATGTGGGGCATAATCATTCTGCCGTTTCACATTTATTCAGTGCTTTTGAACGCATTTTCTGACAGCTTGCCTTTTAGCAGCAGGCTCATGCCAGGTCAGATGTCCACGTTGCACCCATTTAACTTTACACTAGATCAGATGTGGTCTGTACTCCTGCAGCTGGCTCAAAGTCAGCATAAGCTTCCTATCTTGTGCTCTGACTTAGCTAAACAGACATGTGATTGTACGCTTACGCCTGATTCAGATCAAATTAATACTGCTCAGTGATCTGCAGGGCACAGATGAGGTATTAATGATGGTCTTTTGGCACATTTACACCTGTATGAAACAGTGGATAAAATGTTATGACTTTGCTTTTCACAGCAGTAGTCTTTTACTTTGCAGTCTCTTTCAACAGTGGGAGCTGATGAGAGATTCTTTCTTGATAATCTCTCTCCCTCCCTGCCCTGGCCTTCTAAGTGGAAGAATTGTCATTTTTCCCCACAACAGCAAAAGTTTATCAATGATAAAAAGAACAAAACCTTTTCCTTCCACTTCTGCATCAGACAAATGCCCAGGCAAATGTTTATCAGGACTGGAGTCTTGCATTACTTTTGTCTGTCATCCCAGTAATATAATATTGCCAAAGTACTCCTTTTCTCATGTTTTTCTTTTCAGTGACCAGTGACCAGACCATCTTTGGCCTTCATCCTTAGCCTTACACAACAAATTCTCTTAGCTATTCTTGGCATCACTGAGGTGCTGTTTATGCACAGATAATAAGAGCAGACACTATAATTGAAAGAGAAACCAGGATGTATTGAGGATGCAACATTCTGTATTTAACAGTACTGGTTTGACACTACTGCCTTTTCTGGTTTTGCTTTTCAGGGTTTTTATTTCTGACATGTAAGTTCCAAGCAGCTCAGGTTTAATTGTATGTAAGTAGCAATTTCACTCTATGGTTGCAGATTGTTATTTGAATCGACATAATGGCCTGTCCCTAAATGAAAATCTTACAAGTGCACAGCCCTTGATTTCCTGAATATAATAAACTAGATGTTACTGATACCATTGAAATTTGTTGAAAGTGGCTTATGAGTGAAGGGCATTATGGTATCATACAGGGAAGAATCAGTATATATGTGGTACATTTTTGTGGTAGAGCTGCTTTTCTCAATGCTGAGTAATAGGTTTACATCTTATTATGTAGTCAATATATATAGGCTCTACAAGCTTTACAACTGTGTTTCAGTGTCAAAACCAGTTGGATTTCTTATGTTATTATAGCATGCTTCCCTGTCTTTTATATCCTTTGGTGCAGAAAGCCTTTGGTTCTACATACTAAAGAAACTTTTCTAAAAAATAGCTGACTGAACATATGTAGTATACACACACATATAGGCATATTATGTAGTATTATGTATTTTATATGATGTGAATGTGTCATGTAAATTTTTAACTTCACCTCACCCAGCCTTTTGCTAAGAGGAGTAGCATTCATATTGTTACCAGGGGCAACTTACACTTTTTGCTGGCTGGTTCCATTTTAGCACTCTGTAACATTATAAAAGCAACTGCTGAGTAGCACACTGATTCAGCTTTAGTGAGTTCAAAATACAAACTACTTCACAAGAAAGAAAATAAAATGCCTTTTCTTATTCTTTTGATTTAATTGGACATCTTTACTGAGAGCAGACAGCAATCCTACAAAGTTTAAAAGCTTATTTTTTGGTACCCACAACAGAGTTGAGTGCAGTACAAGGAATTCTCCTTACATGTTTGTCCTTGGAAATTTCCAGTCCTTCTAGCTAAATTTCAGGATAGGTTATTAAATGTTTTCTTCTTTCCTTACCCTTGGGTTTTCACCCAGATGCTCTATTCTTCACTTATGTTTCGAAGTGGTAGCAATGAGTAAGTTTTTCTTAAAGGGCTGCCATATTTCATCCCAAGGAGTACATTTTGGTGGTGGATCATGCAATCAACTTGTAACATCTGTACCTGAATTTACAGAGCGCTTAGCATCCCAGAGAATCATGTATGTGCTCCTCACATATGTGTGAGATATTAATAGTCAGAGGGAAGAAGAATTTGAAAAGAAGGCACAGACCCCTGAAACAGGAATAAACATACAATCATAGAATCATAGAATCGTTTAGGTTGGAAAAGACCTTTAAGATCATCCAGTCCAACCATTAACCTACACTACCAAGTCCACACTAAACCAATCAAGGGTAGACTAGACTAAACCATGTCCCAAAGTGCCACATCTACCCGTTTTTTGAACACTTCCAGGGATGGGGACTCCACCACCTCTCTGGGCAGCCAGAGGAAAAAAGAAATTTTTCCTAATTTCCAACCTAAACCTCCCTTGGCGCCGCTTGAGCCCATTTCCTCTCATCCTATCGCTAACTACATGGGAGAAGAGACCAACACCCACCTCACTACAACCTCCTTTCAGGTAGTTGTAGAGACATATCTATTTGTTCTCTTTTTTTTTTTTTTAAAAAAGAAAACTATAATTTGAAATTTCTAGGGTGAATTGCAAATTTTTAAGATAATCCTTTTTCATCTGTAGGAGATTGGAGGAGATTGAAGGATCTGGATTTTCTTCCTGTGACTGTGAGGGCTGTCAATGCCTTAATGTACTTCATTGTGAAGTTCATAACCCATTCAAACATCCTTGAGAAAGACTAGTATATGAGTTATACAACCAAGTCAAAAGTAGATTTAATTTAGAAAATGGTTTGAATTGATGTACTTTTCACTATTTGTCCTAATGTTGCTATCCTGCTTTGGGGAGTAGTCTGAATATGGGGAAGCAGCTAGAAATGTGAATTATCTAATTGTTAATTTCCAACTGTGATGAGAATTCCATATTACGACCTACATTCTAACTTTTTCATCTTGATGTGTTTTAATGCAGGGGATCTTGTAAACCACCATCTGTGACCTAAATCAGAACACAAAGTACATAGAGCATTTCGCAGATATGTCCCATTTGCCAGCTACCTCTGTAATCATCTTGTGCTACTGTGTAATAGCGATCAGTCTGAGTCATTGCAGCAGTGATTAAGAGCAGACTGTGGCCTTCTAAAGAAAATCCAGAATGCTTCTCTGCTTGATCCGTCTCAAATTCCTCTCCCCAGACCTCTGAGGAATGCTGGGTTCCAGCTGTAACTCTCTCCTGCCAGGGAAACTTTGCAGCCTATGTACTTTGCCACACCAGACCTATTGCAGGGGTTGCTATTTGCATGCCTGCCTGCAGTCCCCTTGCTTTTTGGATGACTAGTAGTAGGAATGATGGAAGGGTTTGCAATGGCTTGGAGCTGTGGGGTGTGGTAGGATTCAAGGCACAGTGGTGTCCCTGCAGCCTCCTTGGGTTCTGTCTTCCCTCCTTCTTCAGAGACAGGTGAGCTTATGGCTTGGCTGTCTCTCAGCTGAGGGCTGCTCTTTTACCCAGACTCTTCTAGTGGTGTTTTTTCTCATGTTTATCCATGACGCTTGTTCTTTAGTGTATGTACTTCAGCATGTTTTAAATGTGCAAAATTTATTAATTCCCCTTTAGAGAGGAGAAGTTTGCAAAATACTTCTATTGGTGCCCTGTTTTGTCCTCATCTGAAGATTCTCAGTTCCAGTCACTTTTCCTACTTTGCAAAGGGATGTGAGTTCTGTGGCCTCATCGTGGATTCATGGGAGATGAATACTAACCTGCCTTGTTTATTTTTAGGAGGTCTTGGTTATGGACCCCAGTGCAAGTCCATTGGAAAAGTCAGCTGCAACAATGTAATAGTCACCGGCAGTCCCATGACAGTTCAACAGCTGGGACCTGTTTCACCTCCTGCTAATCAGGTTTCAACAGCATGCAACCAGATCACCCCTAGCTTAAAGAGGTCTATGGATGTTTCCAGCCTGAGCGCTTCTCCATCAGATACAAGGTCCTGAGTTACTTTTTTATATGCAGTACTTTAAAAACGGGTATTTTAATTCTCCTGCAACCTTTCTGATTATTAAAATGGCCTAAATGATGCTCAGTTATGCCACGGGAAATCTAACTAAATGCAGTTTAATTCAGCTATAATCATACTGTTTGGATCATTCAAATCATGGGTGAAATTTGGCCACACATTTTCTATGTTTGACAGAGCTTTTTTGTTAGGTAAAGATTTTTATAGTCATTTAATGATATTTTTGTACTAAGGGCAGGAAATATTATGGAGGATGAAAGCAGAAATAGTCCACATGTTACATCTTCAGGGGCAGTGACTATGTTAGCTTAACATAGTGCTAAGAGTGTTACGTTGGTGCCTGTCAAGTAACGCTAATGTCAGACAAAGTAAACTTAAATGACCTGCTTTTAATGTTAAAAGTTAAAATGTTAAATGTTCTTCTCTCCTCATCAAAGGATGATTGCTTTCAGATTGTTTAATTGTTTACATAATTAAGTTAATCAGATCAATTTTTCCCAGTCTGCACTGAGCCAGCAGTTAACTTCATCTGTGTCAGACTTGTGTCCCTGAAAACTTGTCCATTTTTGTAGCTCTGGTGGGTAGTTTAATAAAAACTGTGGCCTCTACCTGTAAATGTTGCCTTTTTATGTCACTAAACCACAGAGAAATATTTGTTAATTAATTTTTAAATGCTTAAATAACTTTTGAAATTATGGCTATGAGTATTGTCAAAAAACATGAATGAAGGGAAAATAGTTATTTGACAACCTTGATACAAATACATTAAGCACATCCCTGGATATAACTTAAACATACAGTGAGAAAACACTCTGGTGTGTTATTTCATAAGCTGTGTTCCCACTTTTGAGGATGTGACTGATGCAACAGTTGCCTACTCAGTTGAAATGTAACTGTTCTTGTTTACAGAAGGCCACAAGAGTCTTTATTCTCAAAACAGTTTACATTTTGCTATATCACTTTACTACAAGCCAAGGAACATTCTTGAAATAATTAAAATTGGTATTATGTAACTGCAAGAAAACCTTGCTTTACTCCACTGTAAGATAGTTTGTGACATTTCTGCCACTTCATTTGTGAAGACTGGGTCCCCCGGCACAATTTACAAAAGTTATTATGCTTCCTATATAAATGTGTCAGGGAGAACCATTCAGTGCTAAGATGATGACAAATGACAAATCCAGAGACATGCCTTTGAAGCAGAACAAAAATGATAATATAGAAATATCACTAAGTAATTATTACTTTAATAAGTTTTAGGTGCACCTGTATGGTTCCAAACACTGTTATTTTTATGTGAATGTGTGCTTGGGTGTACTAAGTCAGTACTGAGTTATACGTTTTTGTTTTTATTTTAAAGAAACATTTACTAAGGGCTAACTGAAGTTGAAACTCTGGCAGAATCAAGGCTCTAGTGTCTCTAGGGTGTCTTTTAATGATTTATCAATGAAGATGTTATAAAATCAGTTTGTCACACAATGTGCTTTTCAGCAATTCTGCCCTCAAATTCACTATTTAATACGGCAAAACAAATTTAAAGTCAGATTTTAATTCACAGATTTTTGAAACAATATTGTTCGGCAATAAACTGCATTTGCCCAAACTGGTTGCCTAAGCTGACTCTGTAATCCTTCATGGTCTGAGTGCCTTCTCTGGATTGTATCTCTCAGGCGCCATGAACTGGGCTCTGGCAGCTCAATCCAAACCAGATTATTTGCTGAATTGACCCAAACCAAAATGACTTGTCTTGGTTTTTACTGATGGAAGAAAGAAAAAAGTTGGCAAAATTGGAGTTTTGATACAGATATCAGATTTTGGTATATACACCATGAGGGATAAAACCTTCCCCATCTCTTTTGAGAGTTTCCCAAAAACTTTTTCAGAATATTAATTTATGCTGCTTGAAACCAGATGTAATACTGCCATTTACTTTGATGCAAGTCAGAAAAGGACCTAGGAAAGAACAAAAGGTTCTTGGCTAGCAAAACAGAAGACCACGCAAAAAGATAAGAAAACATAGTTTTCACTCTTCCATGTTTGTGTTTAAGATTCTGGGTTATACTTGACACTGTGGCCTCTGTACACAGAGGGAGAATAGAAAGTAATTGCAGAAATGTCTTGTAAATGTTCATAAAAGATCTGGTCCAAACTCAAGCTGGTTTAGATTACAATAAGCAGACATGCCGATTGATACCAGCTGAGAATCTGGCACAGTGGCATAGCTGGCGCTTCATTTTCATATTAGGTATATTTATTTTCCCCCAATAAAACCACTGAGTCACAGCGTGGGCTGGGTTTTAAATAAATTTCCTTTGTTTTGGGAACTGGAATCTTTCAAATTTAGAGACTTAAGTGAGGACAAAACTTCTTCAGATTATCTAGCTCTTACTTATTATATACTTGAAATTCTGGGCCAGCTTTTTATTTTTGTCCTTGTTACAAGACTTAAAATGGAATTTTTCTTCAGCTTCACTGCTGGGTATGTCCCTTTGTGTTAGGCATTAGTAGCTTTTTGAATTACACTGGTCCTACTATGCATCTGATTAAAATTCTTGACATTGCAAAAGTAGACTTGTTATGTTGATAATGATTTTTTTTTCCCAAATTATAAAAGAGAAAATAAAAATTTAAATAATCAAACTGGCAACCCCCCCCCCATTTATATTTTCCAGATATAAATATATATAGCCTAGCATGGAAAAATCAAACCTTACTTGCTTTTCTTGCTCTGTTGAAGACTGGATCTGTATTTGGGGCCACAGCATACTAACATGATTTAACTGCCCTATAATGAACTGTGCTTTAACAAAGCCCATTGATAACAGACCCAACAGCCTGAATCAATTTTTTTCACAAATAATTATCCCTTTAGATCTAAATCTTACACAAAATTGACCTGATATAACAATCCCATTTTTCTCATTTCTCTCAATGCAAATTGTAGTCAGCGTGTTAATTGTGCTTTTCTTCACTGCTCTGTTCTGAAAATGCCATTTAAACCCTGATGGAGTAACATAGCCTCCGTAACAGTGCCCTATACTGACATTCCCTTTGAACGGGATGTTTCTTATTCTGATACAGCAAATCAACCATCCATTACAAAGCAATGTTGCTCCTTGAGCAAAGGAGCATTTACCCATCTAGCCCATAGGTCACCACAGCAAGGCTGGGTGGTATTTAAAGCTACATTTTCACTGTTTGTGAGCTATCTCAGTGTGCAGACATAGCACCTGCAAACTGCTTCCTCTCTTCCTCAACCTGTGCCAAGCTTCCCCTCTAGACAAAAGGTGCTGAGGGCCTGGCTGAGCACCAGTTCCCCTCCTCCAGCTCTTCAGAAATGGCTGGGCTGTGTTCTTGCAGCACAATCCAGCCCTTAAATCAAAGTCACTGCAAACTGACTTTTCTTTCTTTGTGCTGTTTGACTCTCAAGTGCTGGAAAATGCTGTAATATTAAGTAGTAGGGAAAAAACTATCAATCAGGGAGTGCTTGTGTGGTGGGTAGAATAAGATAACAAAGACACTGTGATTTTTCAGCTTTAACCTCTGTGGCTAGAACTGAAGATGGAATGCCTGAATGACTTTACCTAGTGTTTTCATATATTCTTTCAACTTTGCTTATCTAATTGAAAGATAATCCACAGATCTCAGAGGTGAAAAGTTGGTTTACCAAGCACAATCATGGGAATTTGGTAAATATTGCCATAATCACTGGGAATATCTCCAGAGCCATTGTTTAGGATTTGTTCTTGCTCTCTTGGGTTGACTGATGTTGTTTTAAATGAGATTCAGATACAATTTTAGCCTACCAACAATTCTTAAATTAAGTAGTTTCATGTATCTCCACCGAAGCTGCAGTCACTGCAGTAAAGCTGTAGTACTGACATGATGCAACTATGAGCCTTAACAGATCTGTCCTGTGGATCCTTGTTTCCTGAAGCAGTGTCTATAAGAAAACCTTGCAGAACTCAGAAGCAACTGCAATATTGCTTACTCTGAGTAGACATCAAAATTTGCTTCCCTATTAAAAAAAAAAAAGCAGCAAGTAAAATAGGTGGAAGTGCCTCCTCAAAGGTGCTTTCTGTAACTGTGTCTATATCAAGAAAGACATGAGATTTGTTTTGATTAATTTTCTTTATGGTGCATACTTTCTCTTTTAGAAATTTGAAGTTTGTAGCAATATAAAACCATACAGTAAAATAATTATAAATAACGGACTGTAGGAACTTACCTTTGTAATAAGAATACATATTCCTTGCCTACATGACAGTGCCTTTGGATTATTCCATGTAAAAATTTAATATACTGTTTACTTAGAGTTTTAAGAAATATTTTTCAACACCTGATATTTAAAGTACCTATTAGCACTTATTAGCTGTCTTTTTTAAGTTAATATGACCTCCTGAACTGTTTGTATGAGAGGAGGAAATATTGTGTATCTTGTTTTTTATGTGAGAAGCTGAGAAGCAGTGATTGACTTGTCTACCTTAAAAAATGCATTTTGGATTTAGAAGAGAAACCAAATTTCCTGTGTACTTGATCCACCATTGAAATTCTATGCTTCTTGAAAAGTGTATTGTGAAAATAATAAACCCAGGAAATAACCCACAAAACGTAAGATGCAGAGGCTTCTGTATCTGTGAGATCTCCAGGTTTATCAAGATACATACCTGGTTCTTCCTCCTGTTACAGCCTCTTAAAAATAGAAATTAATATACTGGTAGCACCACTGGCTGGCAGGAAATCCAAGTCTGCCAGGATGTGAACTGGAAACATAAAGACATAAATCCACTCGGCCTCTACCCAGCATTTGCAGCCATGAATCAGGGACCTGATGTCCTTGTATTTCCTTTTTATACCTTTCTGTAGAAAACAATATTGTTAAGAGCTTATGAGTTCTTCTTTAAGCTACCCGTAGGACATTTGCAGCATAAACAAGTTGCATAATATTTCTGTGAAAAAACAACGGTAACAGCAAGATTACACTTTTGTCAAAAATTTTGATTGCTGACTTGGAGGCAGATACATCATCAAATCAAGACTAAATAAACCCCTTCAACCAGTTCTTCTACATTATTCATTTATTTTGTTTGTTTTGTGAAGTTAGATATTATCTGTATTTATAAACTTGAGCTATTTCTGTAGAGAGTACTATTTGTATGCATTACAATTGGCAAAGTCATTCAGGTTAAATATTATTCTTTATTAATCAGTTTTCTTCCCATTCTTTGCCAGCAAAAATAATAGTAAATTCAAATCAATATGAGTTTCATACAAGGCAGGAGCATAATGCTTTGGCTTCAGAAGTCCAAACCTATTTACACCACAGCTGATGAAAAAAATGGCATTGATTTCTTGCAGTGAAGTATCAAGAAACCTTACAGGAACTTCTCTTCAAAATGTTGAAGTTTTAATGTTGGTTTCCTAAGTGACCTTGTTACTTATGTATTGCCTGAATATGTCTGCTGGTACATTAACTGAGAGTGCTGAAGTTGAGTACCTAAAATGAGGTACCTGTAGCCTTTCTTTATTTTTTTGTGTAAAAATAGAAGAACCACTGCTGAATTGTCTAACTGCTTACTTACTTTATTGTGCCTTTATTCCAGGTCGCTCTTGTCACGTGAGTCTCTGGCCTCTACAACGTTAAGCTTGTCAGAAAGTCAGTCCACTTTCAGTGTTAAGCAGGAGTGGTCGCATAGGTACAAGACACTTCCTTCTATACCTCCTGACCAAGGTTTACAAAATGGCAGTGATCTGGGGGACTTACTAAGTTTTTCACCTGGAACATCTGTGTCCAGTAACTGCAACTCTAACTCATTACCGTCCTACTTACATGGCATGGAAAATAAGCATTCCCCTTACTCTAGTCCTCGCCATTCCTCAGCCTGGTCTCAATCAGGCCGCTCCAAAAAGAGAGCACTCTCTCTATCTCCTCTGTCTGATGGCATTGGAATTGACTTCAATTCAATCATCCGTACATCCCCAACCTCTCTGGTGGCCTACATCAACAGCTCCAGGACATCGCCAGCAAACATCTCCCCTCAGCCTGAGGTCTATGGACATTTCTTGGGAGTGAGAGGAAGCTGTATAGCCCCAAATTGCTCTATTCCAGCTGCCCAGAAAGGCCTCCTCATGGCTAATGGCAACGTCACCCTCCCAGGGTACATTGAGAATGGGGCTGGTGAGTACCAGCGAATGCAGCAACTGGAGCAAGCCAGCTTGCAGATGGCTGCCACAAGTAACATGGTGATCCAGCAGGGCGTGCTGCCTGTGGACAACCAGGCAGTGGGCGTCCTGAAAAATGAACGTCTGGATGACTTCTCAGGCCGTGTGGTCGACGTGCCACCTCCACCCCTGCTGCTGCCGCCTCCTCCACAAGGGCCACCCCCACCATACCATGCTCACCAGCACCAGCATCCACACAGGCTCCCCAGTCACATTCACCAGCTGCCTGTGCCTCCTTCTGCCCCAGGCTCCCTGCTTGATGAAGATGGTGAGCTAGATGATTTCAATGGCAAGCATGGCTGTCGCTGGGTTGACTGTGGTGCACTGTATGACCAGCAAGAGGAACTTGTGCGGCACATAGAGAAGATCCATATAGACCAGAGGAAAGGAGAGGACTTCACTTGCTTCTGGGCAGGGTGCCCACGAAGGTACAAGCCATTTAATGCCCGTTATAAACTGCTGATTCACATGAGAGTCCACTCAGGAGAGAAGCCGAACAAATGCACAGTAAGTCTGAATTCTGTCTCTCTAACCAATAAAAGGCTCTCTATTACTCATGAAAATATAGAGAAGTTGTAACTCTGCCTTTGTTTTTCCTAGTTAATGGTGTGCTTTTTTAACTAGTCTGTGTGAACGAATGACTGCTCCATCTTTCCACCTAGATAGAGAGGAAAGGTATTCTTTAATTTGATAGGTACTGGCAGATAGGATTAGATAAAATTTAATATTCTAAATTTATAAACTTTCACTATAGACTGCAAAAGTGACATGATAGACCCTCATAAAGCAAAACTTAAGTACCATCAGTACTTAAGTACCTGCATGAAGGATACATGCAGGAAGAGTGCTGCAGAATAAATGGCACAATTTATCCTGAAATATTCTTGCATCATGTTACTCCTTTTTGACTTGAGGAATTTTCAGGATCTTGCATAATATTACCATGAGAAACTGAGAAGAGTTGGGTGTTTTTTAAGGCAGTTGTTTGTTTCATTACTAACAAACACAGCCCTCTTTCCATGAATATAGTAGGAATAAACCACATAATTTCTCTGTTCACAGATTCTAGCAGTGAGCATTCAACCCCTGAAGTCATGTTTTTCTTGCTGTTTTTCTTAGGGTCACTTCAAGTCAATCTCACACATATGTAATCACATAGAGTAACAATCTAGCCAGTAAACCCTAAAATCAGTTTATGTTCAGACTCCAGTGAACCATCTACAGTCTCTGTAATTCAGATTCTTGATTGGCCTTACATATAGTCTGTATTTCGGATGATGATTAGCTTACCCTTAATAAGTGCTTATTTAGTGTCAGCAGAAAGCAGCCTCACCAGTGCTGTTTCCAGTCCTCAGCGTAACCTAACAAAACAATGAATATGTAATTTCTAGGAATAACTGCTGATTATTATTCACTTGAAAAAATATTTGTTTATATGTTGTGAAATGTAAATTGGTGCTACGAGTCTATTATGGCGTGTACCTAGTTGAATAATTTTCTTACCATGATGTAGATGTTTGCTTGTACAATAGAGCAAATTTTTTTCTTTCACTTCTGTTACTTCAAAGGGCCCATCTCCTTCAGGGAGAGCAGATACCTTCCCAGATTTCTTTCTTGAATTTAAAGGACCTGGTAGAGGTTGTGTCATAATGCTAGGAAGACTTTATCCTCCCCTTTTGTCACACCAGAGCCTGAACTCAGGCTCTCTGCTCTCTCAATACTTTTTTAAATTCCGTAATATTCTCTTTTCTGCTCTCCAGATAATATTGGATCAGAGCTTATCATTAATTTCAGTTTCTCCTCAGGGACTTCTTGCCAGCTTTGTGGGGAGAGAGAGAACGTGAATAAAGAATTATTAGGAGTCAAGAAAGTAATTTTTCAAGGGAATAGCGCACAGCAAAAAAGAGACAAAGAGAGACATCAGCAGATGAGTGAGGGCAGACACCACTATGAAGAAAGAGGGCAGGAATGGTGGAAGTGCACTTTAAAAAGAGTAATGCAAGTACCCAGGGTCTTTCTAGTCAGAGAATTGTGATGAGGGATCCAGTAAGACTGGGGAAAACATTCTGTTAGTAGCATTCTATACTCCATGCCCTCCCTGTTCAGAAAGGATGCTTACAGTGACCTACTCATGATTATGAGTCCTCCTTGAGGAGTCCTTAGCTTTGAAAGAAATGTTATTCACTGATGATAAATATGTTAATGTTCAAGTGGATAAGGAACGTCATATGATAACGTTTTTGAGATTACTAAACCTAAACAAAAGTGTGTGCCAAATCATGCTGTGTTGCAAAAAAATGGGAGGTATCTATAGTAGCTTCTCAAAGAGTGATTGCTTTCGTAAACATCAAAAAGTGTGATTAATTTTACTGAATTTCAGCAAGTGTTGCTGGATAGTGCCAAGAAGTTTGCATATCAGAAGCAGCAGCTACATACTTATCTTGTTTTCATGTTTAGAAGTGTAATGAAATGTATAAATACTCAGGGTGACGTGATAACCCTCATAATGTGGGTGTAAATCTGGAACATAGGCCCCCTTTCTTGGGACACGCATGCAGAAATGATATTCTTTAGCAGGGTTCGAGTGAAACAGCTTGCTGCTTTCTTCCTTTATCCTTTCACAGATAGTGTGAATTTGGCTTTCTAATGCCAAGGGACCATGGTCTGGAAGTCTCTCAATATGTTTAGGAAACTGTACTTCATACCTTTCTCACCAAGCAGTGAAATTTACAAACATATCAATATAATTTAAGCTTTTCAACTGAGATTTTAAGTGAGGTATTAGGGAGAAAACTTTGGGGAAGATGATCGTGAAGTATGATTTCTGTAATTAACAAAAAATTATGCGAAAGAAATCTGAAATTTTTCGTCAAACCTGTATGAATTTATGCATTTAAGTGATAAATCGAAACAATCCATTCATAGTCTTTATTTGTGCACCTAGGGTCTTTCTAGATTTTATTTTCTGGTCCTACATGTAGGATGCCTCTTTCTCTAAAATCATTATAAAGTAAAAGTCTACATCCACTGCTGTTTGCAGACTAATAAGAGGCAGTCTAGTAGACCAAGCAGGGAAGGAAAAATGCCAAGTACACATCTATTATGTGAACCAACCAGATCTACTACAGAGAATATAGCAGAAGTAATAGGTCTTTGGGAGGAACTGTCTTAATGTAACTTACCAAGACTTCCTGTAATCAAAGGCAGCCAGTTACACCAGTCACCTTAGTGACATCACACACTAGTCATTGTGTGAGCATTTTATGTGTTGATGGTTCCTATCGTTTTGCAAGAGACAGTCTTCTCATTAAGCATATATGGCTATGGGTCCTAGTCAGTATATTTATCATGCAGTATTTGTTGCTGTGCAGCTGAGTGTTGAAAGTGTATTATTATATACTGTGTTGTATATCCCAACGGATTGCTGTGATAGTTCAACAAGCTTTGCAAGGTTTTAGTAGTACAAGGTCAGGGTTACTTCTAAGTTGTATTGTTGCAACACTAATAGAGATAATGCAGAATCAGATGCACAACTAATTAAAAGCTGAACTTCATAAAATCATTTTATTCTTCTCTGTTATTGCTCTGTGATGATGAAATCATATATTTGAGAAGGGACTCGAAGAACAGCTAGGACTGCAGTACTTGATGTGCTTATAGTTAAAATCCGAGCCAAACAGAATATTCCTTTGACCTCAGCATTTGTTTTGGCACATCTGAACTAGTTTCTATTTATCTATGTAATAAAAATTTGAAGTGGTAAACTATAGCTACAAGCGATACTCTAGTCATTAGTTCCTTCTTGTTCTGGATGAGCAGTCTTCTTCAATTCTGGAAGATAAAAGGGTTGTGGGGTGAGTATTAATCAGATAGCAGCACATAAAAATATGTGACGATCATGCTAATCAGATCCAAACTTAAAGTCAAACATTCTTAAGGTCAAAAACTCAAAACATACTTGTCCCTCTGTACAAAGGTAACTAGGGTGGAATGGAAAATAATTGCATACTGGTCCTGACAGATTTGTTTCATATTGTTGTTTTTCTGTGAATTGGGCTCTTTTTTTCCAGCTTTACCTGAATTTGCTGCCAGAGCTGCATGTTCAGATTTGGTCTTGGCAAATTGATGCAATATACTTTTTCTGTGTACTGAAAAATCATGGTGTATTTGTCATTCCTGCCCATTTTTAGAAGATTGGTTCTTGTTCTAAAAAATGCACTGTAATTTTAAAAGGCATGAATTTCATGGAGTCTTGCATTTTATTTTACATGGGAAGCCCAAGTAGGTGACTATGCTTGGCCTTGCTTTATTGCATGGAAATTTGTGAAGTTGAAGAGTACCTGCATGCAAGAGGGAGGCCTCACCTGAAGTTGACTTGTTTCGAATAGGAATTCATTAAATAGCTGTTAAAATGTATTGGGCTCCCTTATTTTTCATTAAAACATCTTTCAGGTTCTATTCCAACTTACTGCATCTGGAATGCATTCTTCATTTCAGTGACCTGGTTTAAAGACTAAAAGAAATTATTCATGACATAGTAATATATATATTTAGTGCCTATTCCTAAACTTTTTTATATGAAGTAGGTATGGCATGTTCAAACATGTTGTATTTACTTATTAATCTATGCATTAGCTTGTACTGTGCAGGAATAAGTGAAAGAAGAAAAAGTTAAATGAAAAATTGATGTTGAAATGCAAGCAGTTAGTACGCCAGGGGTTGAGATAAAATCTGTAACATTTGCCAGCAGTTACCACACAATGGTATCTGAGGTTCCCTCAGATTTCCTCTGGATTAGGAAAAAAAGAGAGTTCCCCATAGCTGTGGAAACTCCACAGTAGCAATTGGCAAATGCTGACCTTTTGCTCTCTTTGGCTGTACCTGTGAGCTTATTTTCTACTCAGTGTTCCTTCTTCTGTAGTGAGTATTTTTGTACTTTTCAAGTTCAGCTGCAATAAGAGGTACTTAATTAGCCTTATTGTCATGCTATGCAAACAGTAAGCTTAATATATTTATTCGGGTGCAAATAGCAACAGCATGTTGTTAGAGATAAATTTCAGGCTCTCTCTTTGCAGTTTCATTCAGGTACACTAGGAATGTTTCCCCTTTTTAAACTGAATTCAATGTTTTTGCTTTCTATAAGTTCTGAGCTATGCTTCAGCACAGTGCCATTAGTGTTTTAAAGTATGGGATAGTAATACTTATACTGCACTTTTTATCACAGCTGCTTGGTGTGATTTAAAGCAATAAAATTGCTAGTATTCCTGTCAGATTTGAAGCAACATCCATTTAACATCTGCTAAATATCTGAAATTATCCCACAACACATCAGTCTACTAAGCACGTAAAACAGAAGGTACGGTTTAAAAAAAAACCCATAAAACTTAAAACACTTGTATAATGTTTTTTTGAGACACAAGTAAACATCTTCAGGTGAGTATTTAGATAGACGTGTGTGTGCTATTTGAAGGACATGTGCTTGGAACGTGGTGTAGAAGATGAAATAT